TGGTTTCCAGACAATAACTTGAGTATAAGTGTATTGTTTTATCACACGTGCGCTCTTGATCACTTTTGAATTTGCAAAGCGTATGCAGGCTGCTTTTCATATTCCAGTTACAATTCAATTTTATTTATCACTGGAATTATTTAAACTTTAAAAGCTAAACGTTTTTAAACATGTTTGTTTAAAATATGACGTCTGAACGTGTAATTTGACCTAAATCCCAATCTGCCGTTTAGGACAAATAGCTTTAGTTTCACTCATGACTTGCAAATATGACTGTTTCCAAACCTTTGATTAGGACTCTTAGAGAAAGTTTTAAAATTACCTTTTATGGTATAAAGATACCAGAGTTTTTATACTCCCATGGCCATGTACTTGCTGAGTCCTGTTGTTCATTTGGACGATAATTAGAGTGTCCCATCATGGAGTGTAACTTATTTATACTGGTGAAATTTATTTAGAAAGGTCCTTTTAAACATAAAATTGAGAATGGAAATGGGGAATGTGTCAAAGAGACAACAACTCAACCATAGAGCAGACAACAGCCGAAGGCCACCAATGGGTCTTCAATGCAGCGAGAAACTCCCGCACCCCAAGGCGTCCTTCAGCTGGTCCCTAAATAAATATGTATACTAGTTCAGTGATAATGGACGTCATACTAAACTCCAAATTATACACAAGAAACTAAAATTAAAAATGATACAAGACTAACAAAGACCAGAGGCTCCTGACTTGGGACAGGCGCAAAAATGCAGCGGGGTTAAGCATGTTTTTTGAGATCTCAACCCTCCCCCTATACCTCTAGCCAATGTAGAAAAAACAAACGCACAACAGTACGCACAGTAAAACTCAGTTTAAGAGAAGTCCAAGTCCGATGTCAGAATAGGAAACAAAAGAAAATAAACAAAATGACAATAATACATAAATAACAACAGACTACTAGCAGTTACTGACATGCCAGCTCCAGACCTCAATTAAACTGATTGAAAGATTATGTCTTCATCATATGAATATCAGGCACAATCCCTCCTGTAAGGGGTTTAGTATTATACCATCATAAAATATATGAGAAGAACATAACCCTTGTCATGCCAACAACTGGTTTTAGAATGAATATGTTTAATTCCGATGCAAAGACCCTATAAGTGAATCAATATTAAAGCCAAAATATGCAATCTTTAATGACCTGACAACAGTATCGTAACTATATCCCTTCTTAATAAGTCTGTTTAAAGGTTTTGCACCATTAAAGAGTTTTACAAAGAACCTGTTGAAAATGCCTGTAGAATGTTTTCATGGAATACTTTAACTTGATTTAATGCATCAGATAGATGCATACCTCACGGCCTTCTTTATTGTTTTGTTTTATAATTTCCCACCTTGTGCAGAATATACCCAAGGACATATACATTGAGAAACAATTTACTCACAGTTCCTTTCATTAGGTGGTTTAAGCTTGTTTATTATGATCATGATCAATGATTGAATTTCAATGGTTTAGAATCGTGCTATATTTAATCACAGGATCTAGTCTCTATGGAATTTGTTGCTTATATAACTTTTAAAGAATGGTAAGTCGTGACAAATAGATATAATTGTCTCCTTCAAGAGTCCTCAGCCATTTATGATTTCTATCGTAAAAGTCAATTTAAAAAAAGAAAAGCAATATGTGAACCCGAGACTGCTGACTGGTCACCAAAATATTGTTGCTGAATTTTTTGCATTAGATTTGAAATAATTGACTGTGAATAAAAAAAGGTCATGATGATGTTAAACCACCTTTATTGAAAATATGTAAAAGTGTGTAGATTCTTGCACAAGTCGATTAAAAGGACTGTTGGATTTTAGTTGTAAATAGAAAAAAGTATTCAGCTACCTTTTGAATTTACCTTTTAAGGGTAGATTATTTTATTTATTACTTGGGAGTGTACAACATTTTTTCTTCGTGTTAAATATACAAAGTCCTAATCCTATTGCAATTCCTAGTTTCTGCAAATCAGATGTCTAAAGCAAATTGCACAGACCAATCGCAATATAAATTTTAGCACTCAGCTTGATTTATATATCTGGATGCATTTATCTTATCTTTCATATCTTCATCTTTTGTTTCCTGGATGCCTTTAATTATTCTTATTCTGATTATTTATTAACCGCATAATAATATGGTTTCAAGTTGGATTTCAAATCCGATTTTGTTGTGTTGCATGCAGAGGATTTAATATAATGTAAATGAACCAAGATGTGTGTAGGATAGCTGGTCAACACAATGCATACAATTTTCAAAACCGCACCATATTGCAAATATTTAGATGCTATAGGGTTGAACTACAATGCATTACAAACAAAAAGAAAATGGAAATTTAATTAACATACATTCCTGTTAAATCTTTTCCGAAAAATTTAAAATATACTATCAATAAACACAAACGTCAAGTATTTACTGATGGACATTTTTTTATCTAATCAATCTCTTCTTCAAGTCTGACTTTCCATTTTATAAATAGGTTGCTACACAAATATAAGAAGATACTTATAAAACCATACTAAAACGATATAAATTAATTAATGTAGTAATAAGTTGATGATTATTGTAAAAATATAAACTACTTTTTATGCGCCCGTTTACTGGACGTATTATGTTATACCGTTGTCCGTCCGTCGTCAACATGTTGGACAATAACTCAGAAACACTTTAACCAATTTGCATGAAACTTTGGTGAATTGTTTATATGTATTGACGTGAGCTCCCTTTCGATTTTTATAAATTTTAGATTTTACGTTTCCAAGTTATGGGGTTTTATTCATTAAAAAAGTAGGATTTTCCAGTTTTCGGACAATGACTCAAAAACGCTTTCACCAATTTGCAAGAAACTTTGGTGAATTGTTTATATCTATTGATGTGAGCTCCCTTTCGATTTTTATGAATTTCAGATTTTACATTTCTGAGTTATGTATGGGGTTTTATTCATAAAATTTTTTTTTTATATATAAAAAGGAGGATTTTCCAGTTTCAGACCAAAACTCAAAATTGATGTGAGCAGTTTCATGAAACTTTGGTGAATTGTTTTTATCTATTGACGTAAGCTCCCTTTCTGTTTTTATAAATTTTAGATTTTACATTTCAAAGTTATGGGATTTTATTCATAAAAAAGGGGTGATTTTCCAGTTTTCGGACAATATCTCAAAAGTGCTTTGAGCAGTTTTCATGAAACTTTGGTGACTGGTTTATATCTATTAAAATAACCTCCCTTTAGTTTTTTTATAAATTTCTGATATGACGCGATGGGCGTATCATGCGCTCATGGCCCAGCTCTTTATTTGTGAGATGCAAGGATTTAAAATCCTTGTGAATTGAAACCATGCAACTATATTTTTTTCATACACTACAGTTTACATTTTAGGTACTGATTTATTTGTGTGCATCCCTGATAATTTGTGCTGGTATGATGCATATAATTTTTCATAAATTTTATATATATGTATTCACGGTTAAAACAACTGTGACATAATATAACATTATTAATTATATAGTTACTATTAATGATAAATTTTGTTTCAGTTTAAACTTGATGATTTTAATGAATATTCCCTTGGTCTGTTGATGAAATTCAATATAATTTTTGACAGAAATATTGTTTTGTTTAATTATCTTTCCACTTTCCAACCAATGTGTTTCCGACCTAAGATAAATATTTTTAAGAAAAATATCGTTTTGTTAATTTTCTTCTTGCTTTCCAACATTTATACAAAATATCATGTGGTAAATGTTCAGAAAAAATCAGTTTATTCTGGGATATGATATATTTTGTCAGTGTAGTATTCCCAGGTTTATTGTAGAGCCTGCAACTTTTGTCGCAAAAGCGAAACATAGCGATCCTACATTCCGTCAGCGTCGTCCACAAATATTCACTCTGTGGTTAAAGTTTTTGAAATTTTAATAACTTTCTTAAACTATCCTGCATTTCTACCAAACTTGGACAGAAGCTTGTTTATGATCATAAGATAGTATCCAGAAGTAAATTTTGTAAAAAAAAAATCCTGTTAAAGTTTTTGAAATTTTAATAACTTTCTTAAACTATCCTGCATTTGTACCAAACTTGGACAGAAGCTTGTTTATGATCATAAGATAGTATCCAGAAGTAAATTTTGTAAAAAAAAAATCCTGTTTATCTGTATTTTACTTATAAATGGACTTAGTTTTTCTGCCAGTTAACATTACATTCACTCTGTGGTTAAAGTTTTTAAAATTTTAACAACTTTCTTAAACTATCTTGGATTTGTACCAAACTTGGACAGAAGCTTGTTTATGATTAAAGGCTAGTATCTAGAGGGAAATTTTGTAAAAATTTATTTCCTGTTTTTCCGTATATTACTTATATAAACTTATAAAGTTTTTCTTCCACTTAACATTACAAACAGTCTGCAGTTAAAGTTTTTAAAACATTTATTAGATGCATAAACCATCCTGGATTTTTACCAAACTTGGATAGAAGCTTCTTACAATCAAAAGATAGTATCTAGAGGAAAATTTTTAATAATTTTTTCCCTATTTTTGTTGAGCCTGTGACTAACAGCAAAAGTAGGCGAGACACTTGGTTCAGCGGAACCCTTACGAATTTTTGTCACAATGAACAATAGCATGTTGTGTTAAACACTACACACACAATGCATACATGGACCATCTCAAAACATGAATTATATAATTGTGTTATCATTATATTTGATATTTAATAAACATTCACATGAAAACACATATGTTCTGTCAAAAGGCAAATACTTTGGATCGAAAATTTTGAGACGTTCCGAGAATCTTGTTCCAATGATATCTGATTGGCCCCTAGAAGCTTCCGAAACTCACCAATATATAGACGCCTCAGCAAAAAATATGAATGACCAGAAATAAATACTTCCTTCAAGAATATCCAAATATTTTATGATGTATATCTTTTAAATCCTTCAATGTTGGTTGAGCTGGATTATTTTGATCTATTTTCTGGTTTTAGATATGCACGTAACATTACAGCCAGCAATGATGGAAGAAGTATTTGATATGCGATATATTATAGCCATTGGAGTGTCTGTGACCGTTCTCTTCCTTATCCTGGCTGCAGTTCTTATATGTCGTGGTAGGTAAAATTATCTACAAAAAAGCAATTTCAAATAAAAGTTATCATGATTAAGATTCTAATATTAAATAATGGCTGTTTAATTTTCTCAAAATTATTTAGTTTTTTAAAAAGGACAGTTTCTCATAAAACAGGTAGTATGTTTGTTTAATTTGTTTTGTGATTAGCTGGTAAATTTTTTTCTGATTTTCAAAATAGCGAAACTTAGTAAAAATTTCCAAGCAATATTCTCAGATGGTACCCTTCTTTAGCTCACCTGGCCCATTGCCATCATTTGGCATCTGTTGTTGTCCTTCATCTTTCAGTTGTCATTGTCATACATTTTTTTAAAGATCTGCTAAACCAATTTCAGCCAAACTTTGTGTGAATGACCCTTAGGGTATCTAGTATGAATTTTGTGGTTTTTTTTCTTTAGCTAGTAGTCAACAAACATGGCTGCCATGCTAAAAATAGATCATATAGGTAAAATGCATTGTCTTATATTTGAAAAAATTATAATACATAGAGAAAATCAGACCGTGGCTAAAAGGCTCAGAATGTCAAGATCTACCTTCTTCTAGTTTGCACCAAAACTATCAGATAACGATTTTTTTCTTGAATGTATGTGCTTTCTATACAAATGTTATATTGAAAGAATTAAATCAGTAATTTTTCAGAAAATATATTTTTGTTTTTGTTATTTGTTTTGTTTATAAATCAGACCATTGGTTTTCTCATTTGAATTGTTTATCATTTTGTCATTTTTGGGCCTTTTATATAACTTACTATACAGTTTTTCTCATTGTTGAACACTGTACAGTGACCTATAGTTGCTTACATCTAAGTCACTTGGTCCTAGTGGATAATTGTATCATAGGCATCAATACCACATCTTATTTTTTATTTATTTAGTAATTTTTTCATCAAAACTTTCAACAAAAGACTCAGTATCGATTTATGTAATCAACAAAGTATTATATTTCACTTTCTTATAAAATCTATACTATTCTATTTTATTAAAATTAATTTTACTTTGTCTTTCTTTTAATGGAAATATAAAATTTCCATATTTTGTCTATTTTTCTCTCATCCTTTCTACAGTTTTCAACCTAGACCTTTTAACTTACAGAAAGATTTCAAACATATTCAGATTGTAGCTTGCTATTATGGTAATGTTTGAGGATTTTTTTATCTTTTTCCAAGACATTTAAATTGAGTCATTATTCAGCAAAATAAGAAAAATACAGCATTAATTTTGAGTAATCAAATCCTTCTACAAACTTGAAACTTCATAGAATATATATTAAAGTGGCGCATTTCCCAATGTGTAGTTTTTTTCCTATTTTGAATTTCAATTGATTTTTGCTGTTTTTGCTTTTCAGGGACAAACAAATACTTATTTTAATTAAAATCTTCCTTTTGGTTGAATTAACTTTCTCATACATTTCCATAATAAAATCACTCAACTCTTTATGGTCAAGGGCATTGAATTGTAAATCCTAAGCTTATAAGGGTTACATGAAAACTGTTTTAAGACTGACAATGTCATTAAGCATAAGTATTAGGTCTACTTAATTACTGCTTAATTATACTGCAATGTATTGTGTTGACATGAGCTGGTTATTGTTTATTTTTAACTTGCATAGAGTTACTTATTGGATTAAAATGGAAGATTTAGAGAGTGCTATTACTGTAATGCCTAATAAATATTTTAATTAAGAAGACAATATATTCTTACAGATACGTGTAGAAATACAAATAATTATCCTTCCTCTGGCAAATAATAATCAATGGCTGAACTGTTGTTTATGGTTATAGTACTGTTTGGTAGATATTGGCAGTTGGATAAAAAGTAAATTGCTTTCTTTAGGATTCAGAACAGTCTCTTTACACACTTACTTAAACATGCTTTAATTTTGCTGTTGATCTAAAATAAAAAATAAAAAATTATTGAAACATTGAAATTTAATAAAAGGAAATGTGGGATATACATCAATACACAGTAACCCAATGACTAAAATTATCAATACATGTCAAGAGGTCAACATACAGTTTACAACAATGGACAGGTGTTTATAAAATATGTCAAGGTTTCAAAGCGTCATCGGTCTCCAAAAATTTTCATGTCTATTAATATATTCAAGGCAAAAGATATATAAAGAAAGGAAGAAATTGAGTGAAAATCAAATACTGAATATAATTAAAGGAGATGTGGTATGACTGCAAACATAACAACTATCCACCAGTGAGGGATGTATGTTGAAATCTAGATGTCTTTGGGTTGTTTTTGTCATTGGTTTGCTGTCTCATTGTTGTATACCCCACATTATATTTAATTTATATCAAAATTTGTTAGTTTGGTGAAATTATAATTTACACTGACAAAATTATTCAGATCTGTATAAATATCTCTATTAATCTTACAGGAATCAGACACACAACCAGTGTTTCCCCTTATCAGCCCTGAATTGAATTTAGATAAAAAGAAAACATGATACTGATTTGTAAGCACATGATGTATGTTTCTGAAATAATATTCATCTGGTAGGCTCCTAAACACAAGTTTGGAATTTAGCCCTTAATGACATAATCTTTTTTTATGAGCTGAATCTTGCTAGTGACATATTTGATGGAAATGAAACCATATCTCTATCATGTTTTGATACTCACATTAATTATTGTGCCACCACTCCAGAGTAGGGGTGGGGGGATTCTGTTTTATTTCTGTCCATCAGTCCAATGAAATTCAATGAAAATCACAATTTTCCTGAAACTTGGTATCAGTCTTTGTGTGATAGTACCATACCATGTCATGCAGTTTCAGATTCATAGATCCTCAACTACCTGTTTACCGAATACTTATAAATTTTAACACACAGTTGCCATGTATGAAATTTGAGTTGCATTTTTCAAGTGAACTACAAATAAGAGCTTCCTGAAATTTGTTATCAGTCTTGGTGTGATAATGCAATACCATGTAACACATAATGGCCATGTATGCAATTTTTGTAGGGAACAAAAATAATTTTGGCATTCAGCATTTAGGTACATTGTGGTTAGTCAGCATTTAGGTGCAATGTGGTTAGTCAACATTTAGGTACATTGTGGTTAGTCAACATTTGGTACACTGTGGTAAGTCAGTATTTAGGTACATTGTGGTAAGTCATCATTTAGGTATATTCTGGTCAGTCAACATTTAGGTGCATTGTAGTTAGTCAACATTAAGGTGTATTTTGGATAGTCAACATTTAGGTACATTGTGGTTTTTCAACATTTAGGTACATTGTGGTTAGTCAACATTTAGGTACATTGAGAATAGTCAACATTTAGGTGTAGTTTAGTTGGTCAACATTTAGGTATATTATGGTTAGTCAACATTTAGGTACATTGTGGTTAGTCAGCATTTAGGTGCATTGTGGTTAGTCAACATTTAGGTGTATTTTTGTTAGTCAACATTGTGTATTTTGGTTAGTCACAATTTAAATGTATTCTTGTTATTTAGCATTTAATAGGTTCATTGTGGTTAGTTAGCATTTAGGTTTAATTTTGTTATTCAACATTTGGATACATTGTGGTGAGTCAACCTTATAAAACATTGCTTTTAGTCAACATTTAGGTACATTGTGGTTAGTCAACATTTGGTACACTGTGGTAAGTCAGTATTTAGGTACATTGTGGTAAGTCATCATTTAGGTATATTCTGGTCAGTCAACATTTAGGTGCATTGTAGTTAGTCAACATTAAGGTGTATTTTGGATAGTCAACATTTAGGTATATTATGGTTAGTCAACATTTAGGTACATTGTGGTTAGTCAGCATTTAGGTGCATTGTGGTTAGTCAACATTTAGGTGTATTTTTGTTAGTCAACATTGTGTATTTTGGTTAGTCACAATTTAAATGTATTCTTGTTATTTAGCATTTAATAGGTTCATTGTGGTTAGTTAGCATTTAGGTTTAATTTTGTTATTCAACATTTGGATACATTGTGGTGAGTCAACCTTATAAAACATTGCTTTTAGTCAAAATTTAGGTGCATTGTGGTTTAAGTCAGCATTTAGATGCATTTTGGTTAGTCGCATACAGGTGTATTTTTGTTAAAAACCATATAGGTGCATTGTGATAAGTAAGCATTTAGGTACATTGTAGATAGTCAACATTAGGAAACACTCCTATTATTCAACATTGAGGTGTATTTTTGTTATTCAACATTTAGGCACATTGTGGTTTGTCAGCATTTAGGTACATTGTGGTTAGTCAGCATTTAAGTGCATTGTGGTTAGTCAGCATTTAGGTACATTGTGGTAAGTCAGCATTTATGTGTATTGTGGTTAGTCAACATTTAAGTGCATTGTGGTTAGTCAACATTTAGGTGCATTGTGGTTAGTCAACATTTAGGTACATTGTGGTTATTCAGCATTTAGGTACATTTTGGTTCGTCATTGTTTAGGTACACTGTGGTTAGTCAGCATTTAGGTACATTGGAGTTAGTCAACATTTATTTACATTGTGGTTAGTCAACATTTAGGTACATTGTGGTTAGTCAACATTTAGGTACATTAGTCAACATTTAGGTACATTGTGGTTAGTCAGCATTTAGGTACATTGTAGTTAGTCAACATTTAGGTACATTGTGGTTAGTCAGCATTTAAGTGCGTTGTGGTTAGTCAACATTTAGGTGCATTGTGGTCAGTCAACATTTAGGTACATTGTGGTTATTCAGCATTTAGGTGCATTGTAGTTCGTCAACGTTTAGGTACACTGTGGTTAGTCAGCACTTAGGTACATTGTAGTTAGTCAACATGTAGGTACATTGTGGTTAGTCAACATTTAGGTACATTGGTTAGTCAGCATTTAGGTACATTGTAGTTAGTCAACATTTAGGTACATTGTGGTTAGTCAGCATTTAAGTGCGTTGTGGTTAGTCAACATTTAGGTGCATTGTGCTCAGTCAACATTTAGGTACATTGTGGTTATTCAGCATTTAGGTGCATTGTAGTTCGTCAACGTTTAGGTACACTGTGGTTAGTCAGCACTTAGGTACATTGTAGTTAGTCAACATTTAGGTACATTGCGGTTAGTCAGCATTTTGGTATATTGTGGTTATTCAGCAGTTAGGTACATTGTGGTTAAATATTTTAAAACTTGAATAACTTTGTCAAACGGTTATGGAATTTTACTTGGACAGAACCTGAAGAGATAATCAAGAGACAGCACCCTAAGCAAAATATTGAATTTTTTTTCTGTTCAATGTTTACCGACAGCAACAGTTGCAGACAGGGTAGAATCATTTATGATATTTATCTAGTAGAGATCCTGGTACCTGTTGTATCTTGACATATTTATCCACAATGTCATAGAGGCTAGTTTATAAGTTTTGTTTTGATTATAAAATATTCAATTTGATGGCTTAAAACTGGATCAGGACATTGGTATACATACAAAAACTAAGATTCCCTAACTCCCATTGAGTTGTATGTTGCTCTTCAACTTTGTACTTTATTTGGCCTTTTATTTTTTTTTTTGAGCGTTACTGATGAGTCTTTTGTAGACAAAACGCGTCTCTGGCGTACAAAATTTTAATCTTGGTATCTATGATGAGTTTATTTGTATAAACTTTTGTTTCAATATAGTGTTTGACAAGTATCTGATTCGAAATATTGAGAGCATGCTATCGGAAAGATTCCATGATGGTGTAAGCTTTTCATTATTTTCTAGGTGCTGCTCCAACATCTGGCACATTAAATTTAACTTCAGGGGAATAACTGTATACAGTTCGAGATGTGGATGTGAAACTGCATTTAGATCTCATTAAATATGCTTGCTTTGTTGTGCCCTGTTTTTAAAATGAATTTTTAAATCTTTTTTTTATGATTTTCTTTTAAATTTTAAATATTTTTCCATTGAATGTCCTCAGTTGCCTTCATAAATTCTAAATATAAACATTACTAAATGAACAATGGAAGGAAACTGCAATAAACTATTGATAGAAAAAAAAATAAGATCATTGATCATTCTTGAAAATAAATTAGCTTGATTTATAGTTTAACAGAAGCATAGAAGAAGAAAGGAAAGGATTGTCAATTTTATATAATTACAATTTGAAGCATTCTATATCTGTTTCTATGCCTTTACGCAATGTGGGTGTGTGACTTCATTTAATTATTACCTCGACCTGGATAATCCCACCTAACAATGCAGGTGTGTGCATTCATGTAATTACAACTAGGTCTGGATAATCTTATCTGACTATGCTGGCCTGAGTCTCAATTAAATAACAAGCAAGGCCCTGAAAATGAATACCATCTGACTATACTGGATTGTAACTTGATTGAAATGCAAACAAGGCCTTGATAATCCCATCTAACTATACTATAGACTCTTGTAACTTGATTTAATTACAAAATAGGCCTTGATAATCCCATCTTACTATACTCTCTTGTAACTTGATTTATTTACAAAGAAGGCCTTGATAATCCCATCTGACTGTACTTGGTAATGTGACTTGATTTAATTACAAACTAGGCCTTGATAATCCCATCTGACTATACTGGTTTATAACTTGTTTTAATTACTACCTAGGCCTTGATGATCTCATCTGACTTTTCTGGCATGTGACTTGATTTCATTTCAGCAGCCAACAACAATCACTAGATGACAGGCACAGAAAGAATTTGGCTGGGTTACCCGTTTTTGGGAGCGTTGAACCTTCCATATACCGTATAGCGTTTTTTTTTCACAGATATAAAATTTTACAATTTAAGCTGGGGTAACACATTCCTATTCCTTGATAGAACTATTCCCGATTAAAATTTGTCAAAAGTCTGATCAAGATCCTGTGAATCGTGGCTGGAAATTCAAACTTTAAACAAAATTTGTAAAAACATTTATTTAATCACGACAAAAATCAGGTTTCAATTTTCTATTCTACAATGTATTTTCTAAGAGTATTCATAGTTCCTGAAGGCTAGTTCGAAGCCCAATATGATTAATAAATTAACTATGTTTTACAGGCCTAAAATATCAATCAGAGAACCTCCAAAGAATGTAGTGAAAGGACATCATAAATAGTCTAAGAAATGTATGACCTTGTACAATTCTAAAATACATGTATACGTTTTAACAAGATGAAGGACCATACGTTTTATAATTGGATAGCAATACTGTTTCAGTTATGTATTAAACGGTTAAAACAAAATCAATGCAAGTACCAATAAAGACAATATTTAAAGAACTTTCTTCAATGTTAACCTGATAACCTTTAAGACCAAATTTCTATAAATTACATGCATGTAAGATTTGAAGAAATACAGTTAACTTATAATGGTATATTGATATGTTGTACAGTTAACTTATAATGGTATATTGATATGTTGTTAGGAAGTAGAATGTTCATAATTCAGTCTAGTATCATTCTGTTATTGGCACAAATAATTTTTCTTTTGATACTTTTTTTGCTTCAGTTAATCAACAGAAAAAGAAACAGAATGCCAAACTTGTTAGACTTGAACTGAATTCCACGCCAACACGCGGTTATGCCATAAGGACATCAACTGCTAATGGTCTCCTTCCAAGTACTTTACTACATTCTACAGGAATAATGGCAGAATATAATCCAAATTACGACTTTGTTGTGGCCAACTGTCCAGAACAGAAGTTAAATGAGATTAATGCAAATAATCTACGATTAGTTAGGTATGTTAAACTGCCTGTGTATTTTATAGGATTTATCAGCAGAGAGTTTTGTCTGTGTCTGTCTTTTGAGCTGATTTAATTATATCTTTATGGTCCTCTTGAAGATTTATGGTTGATGACCCCAACAACCTTCAAACAACCTTCAAATATGCCTCTCCATTACTGAGAATACAAAATTTGACTAAAAATTTGGTAAAAAAGTGAGAAAAATCATGTGATGTATCAATTGCTATGAAACTTTGACTAAATTATTGGTTTAACTCTTTAAGAATTAATGTTGATTAATGAACCCATCTAATTTAAGCATGATTGCCACTGTATTACTTATATACAAAATTTGGCAGAATGGACCAATTGCTACCAAACTTTGATTAAATGATACATTTATAATCCTTTTTAGCTCACCTGGCCCAAAGGGCCAAGTGAGCTTTTCTCATCACTTGGCGTCCGTCGTCCGTCGTCATTAACTTTTACAAAAATCTTCTCCTCTGAAACTACTGGGCCAAATTTGACCAAACTTGTCCACAATCATCATTGGGGTATCTAGTTTAAAAAATGTGTCCGGTGACCCGGCCAACCAACCAAGATGGCCGCCATGGCTAAAAATAGAACATAGGGGTAAAATGTAGATTTTGGCTTATATCTCTGAAACCAAAGCATTTAGAGCAAATCTGACATAGGGTAAAATTGTTTATTAGGTCAAGATCTATCTGCCCTGAAATTTTCAGATGAATCGGACAACCCGTTGTTGGGTTGCTGCCCCTGAATTGGTAATTTTAAGGAAATATTGCCGTTTTTGGTTATTATCTTGAATATTATTATAGATAGAGATAAACTGTAAACAGCAATAATGTTCAGCAAAGTAAGATCTACAAATAAGTCAACTTGACCAAAATGGTCAGTTGACCCCTTAAGGAGTTATTGCCCTTTATAGTCAATTTGTAACCATTTTTCGTAAATTTTTGTAATTCTTTACAAAAATCTTCTCCTCTGAAACTACTAAGTCAAATTTAACCAAACTTGTCTACAATCATCATTAGAGTATCTAGTTTAAAAAATGTGTCCGATGACCCTGCCCGCGAACCAAGATGGCCGACATGGCTAAAAAATAGTACATAGGGTAAAATGCAGTTTTTGGCTCATATCTCTGAAACCAAAGCATTTAGAGCAAATCTGATGAGGATAAAATTGTTCATTAGGTCAAGATCTATCTGCCCTGAAATTTTCAGACCAATCAGGCAACAAGTTGTTGGGTTGCTGCCCCTGAATTGGTAATTTTAAGAAAATTTTGCAGCTTTTGGTTTTTATCTTGCATATTATTATAGATAGAGATAAACTGTAAACAGCAATAATGTACAGCAAAGTTAGATCTACAAATAAGTCAACATGACCAAAATTGTCAATTGACCCCTTAAGGAGTTATTGCCCTTTATAGTCAATTTTTTACAATTTTCATAAATTTTGTAAATTTTTGTAAATTTTTACAAAATATTTTCCACTGTAACTACCGGGCCATGTTCATTATAGATAGAGATAATAGTAAGGAGCAAGAATGTTCAGTCAAGTAAGATCTACAAACACATCACCATCACCAAAACACAATTTTGTCATGAATCCATCTGTGTCCTTTGTTTAATATGCACATAGACCAAGGTGAGCGACACAGGCTCTTTAGAGCCTCTAGTTTAGAATAGTAGTTGATAACTCCATTCACCTTCAAACATGACATCTACTGTCATTAAAATTGAAAACTTGATTAAAAATGATTAGAAGCTAAGCATTGAACATATCACCTTCAACAATGAGCAAAACCAATACCCTGGCATGAAAAAAGGAAAATTAATGAACAGAGAACTAGTGGGTTGGATACATTGACATATACAGATGCTGACTAGAAACAATATTGTCTATACAGTTGTATAATTCATTGACAATGTTCTTATGTCATCAGCTAATTTAATTTACAATTACATGTAGGTTAATTAAACTCCAGGACAAGTTGTTAGATATTAATGGTAATTTACAGCTTTTAGTCACAGCAAATTTTGAAATAAATGGAATTTAGTAGATTCCGATGGAGATTATGTAATCCGTAAACATATTAATGTGTCTGATTATGTAACAGGGTACCCAGTTGGTTCTGTCATCCCGAAACATATTAATGTGTCTGATTATGTAACAGGTTACCAGTTAGTTCTGTCATGGTGTAACACCACTAATTCGGGCCCGGCCAGAAAGTGATACATATTTAACACAAAATAGTTCCTACGCATGGGTGTAACTTTCAAAATATGTAGAATATTTAGGTAATTTTGGTATCAAATGAAAGCTGAATGACTGGTGATCATTGTAGAACACTGTTTGACTTATAATTTTGAAAAATAAAAAAATTGCATGAAATTTAAAAAAGAGGGTACATTTTGTCAGATCTGAAGTACCTGTTTTGGTATATCTGAAGTCCCGGGAACCAGTTCTTTCTTATATGCCATTAAAGGTATGTTGATTTTTTAAAGGCAGTGCTTTAATGCCTTTCTGGTTGCCGGGTTAATCCTTCCTTCCGCGATATCCAACTTATCTACGTGGGGGGTCATTAGGCTCCAAGTAGATCCGGAAATGTTGAATTCTCTCCTCTTCTTATTGTGATATAAAATGTTTTTTGTTTCATTTCATTTACATTGGGAAATAGAGAAACGATCATTGTGTTTTGTTAGTTTTAAAAACTTTTGAATTATTTGTATTTTGCATTATAAGCAGTCAACCGATTGACAAACACGAATTATTTGAATTCCGTGTGGAAAGAGGTCGGGTTAATTTCGAGTGTTATCTACAATCTAGATGTTTATAAATCATTTCAGTCGTTGATATAATAATTAAAGGTCGACTGAACATGAATGATATTATACAATTTAAAGCGCATTTCTGTTTATGCACGTGAACCCGTCTAACGTTATTGTTATTTCGCAGTTATGTAAAGTAGCAAATTATCGTTCCTGAATAGGTGGCGCCGTGGTAGCCCATCCTGTTCCTCAACTTCCTGTTTCTGCACTGTGCAACTAGAACAGTTACATTTTTAATTAACGATGCCAAGTACTTGTTGTTGTGTACTTGGATGTCATGTAAGAGGAGGACATGCATTTCCAAATGACTTAAAAAGAAGGAAAAGTTGGATCAACGCCATGGCCCATACGCAGATTGGACGAGAACACGATGAAATCGAGGAGTCCATCTCAATCAGCTGTTGTTTGCAAGGCACATTTTACTGAAAAAGACTACGTGCAGGAAACTATTCATGGTAAAACTCTATTTTCTTTTTGAAATATATAGTAATATATGTAATCTCCATGCGAATAAACCAAAGTCTGTTTACAACCGCAATTATCGTTTTAGAAAAAAAAAGGGGGTAGTTAATTCAAGACGTCATATTTTTTTGGATTACAATTCAATGTGATCTGTTTGAGATTTTTTGGTGATTGCTACAATTAAAATGATTTCTTACAAGAGGTATATCATACTGAGAATTATTTTAGCAGTAATTATGCTAATGTAGTAATGACAGGAATGCATAAGCTATGCCTCATAGACTTTCTTGAAAAATATCAATGACAATGTTAACAGGAACAAAACAATGACATGCTCTCATCTATATTATAGTTATTTAGGTAACAAACAATGTACGTTTGTTGCATAAGTCTCTCATTATTTGTCCTTTGGATTTACATAACATACATTGAATCAGGCAAACATAGTTTTATCCAGATTGTAATGAATAAATCTAGTTAATATTTTGCCAGGTAGTACAAAGTATACATTGCTAATGGAAGTTCATTTAGTTATCAAAAAACTAAAGTTTTATAACCCTTTTCAGGGCGCAAACCCACCATACAGAGACTTAAGTCTACTGCCATTCCCAGCCTATTTTCCTGGACCAAGCAAGAGACTGAATCGTCCGCAAAAAGAAAAATCAGGGCAGTTTCCTGTGAAAACAAAAGAACTAAACTTGATGAATATTGTAGTAGAAATCTAGAGGAAAGTTTTGATTGTAAAGTTGGTTTTCCTAAAGAAGTCATTCATACTGCAGAAAGGATTTATGACTGTTCACCACCAACTGCCGAGCTAATGTTGAGCTTCACAGATGGAATTACGCAAACACCATCAATGCCTATGTTTTCAGCAGAGAATTTTGAAATGAAGACAAGTGACACAGCCATGCATTTTTATACCGGTTTAGAGTTGTATACTAAATTTTTATTTGTTTTGACCACACTTGGTCCAGCAGCACATTGTTTGAGATACATATATTTTCAAATTGATAGCTATAGGGTGTCAGTTGAAAATCAGTTTTTTTATGACTTTGATGAAATTGAGGCATTATACAACCAACTTTGAACTGTCTAGATTCTAGATTGAATCTAGTGTTAAGAATATTGTGTATACATGGATTGTTTTTATATCTAAACAGTGGTGTGAGGCTTACACTTGGCCATCTGGTGGTTTAGTCAGGTATTCTTCGCCATCCAACTTCAAATTAAAGTTTCCTACAACTTGGATTATGATTGACAGCACAGAATATCCCGTGATAAAACCTAAAGTTCCTAGAGCTCAGGCAACCTTTTCATCATATAAAAACAGAAACACTGAAAATACTTGTATGTTCAACACCTGGTGGTTTAGTCAACTACAATGTATGTCTCTAATGCATATGTTGGTTGTACCAGTGACTGTGAAATAGTTGAAAGATGTAGAATAGTTCAATTATGTGATCCAGGTGACAGTGTGATGGCAGACAAAGGTTTAAATGTGCAAGATTTGTTTGCTAACTTTTTTCAAAAAAAGAAACAGAATTAGTTCCAAAACTCTTATACGGGATAGAAAAGTCTCCAATTAACACGTGCACATACATTGTAGAGCCAATTATTGGACTTGGCAAAACACAAAATTCTAATAAATCCTATGAATGGAACTGAAACAAAACTTGCATCTGAAATAACATTTAGTTGTTT